CTCCTGCCCGGGCTGGCTTTGAACCGCGATCCTCAGATCTCAGCCTCCTGAGTAGCTAGGATTACAGGCGTGAGCCACCAGCGCCCGGCTCAAAGTGATTCTTGAAACTTCTAAATCTTGTACAACTTTCATGTCAGTAACTCCCTTTGGACTGGGCTTGGGGAGGGACTTGATACACTCACTAAGTGCCGGAGCTAGGGGTGGAACTAGGGGTCCCTCTAGATTTCTACTTCTGAGATAACTCACTTTTACTTCTGAAAGTATGTTTCTTTTCTAATAAACTATTCCTTTTACTACAGTTCCAGTTATACCTGAAATCTTTCACTGGACACAGAATCAAGGTAACTATACTAACCCTCTTAAAACATTACCTACACACTAGACATGCTGGAAGTCTTACATCCTTAACAACAATAAATTCACTTTCATTCCTAAATGCCTCGCTATATGCTATGTCTTCTTATCTCTTCCAAGCAGTTTCATTTCATTGTGTTATCATTATCATACTAACATACACTTATTTCTCCTTTCCTCATTAGGTCTAAAGTTTTTGAAGATAAGTACCAATTAAATTTTGTATTTGGAATATTTAAGACAGAACCTTTTACATACATATGTACATGCATATATATGCATAAGTACACATAAATGTGTTTGTATATAAACTCAGCTATTATAGTAGTATTAAGTAAAACATTAAGTAGTTGTATAAAGAGGTTTGAATTCAAAGCATCTTGATCACACATTCCATCATTTTCTCCCTATTTGTCCCAACCTCCGTTAAGTAGATCTCTGAGGAAAGGCATTTTAAATTATAAAAGCTTTTGACTTTGATCATTCCGGACATTTAATAAAAATGGAATCACACAATATGTAGGCATTGTATTTGGCTCTTCAATGAAGATGTTTGTAAGGTTTATCCCTTTCACAACATGTCACCACTACACTGCAGAGAATCATCACATAAAACATATAAAAACTATAACATTCGATGAGTGAGGAGTTCATGGTATTATGAGAACTTGTTCTAGAAATTTATTTTATCTGGTGAGTTGGAAAGGTTTCCTTCAGGTTGTGGCAACAGAATTATTTCAGAGATGGAGTCTCATAGACTTTTTTTGCCCAGGATGGCCACTAACTGCAATCAGCTAGATCTCAGCCTCCTGAGTAGCTAGAATTATAGATAGGCATCAACTACTGGTACCTGTCTATAACTTGTTCTTTTAAGTTTTATAGGGAGTCTCAGCTCAGTTTGTCCTGAGTTCCGAGATGCTGGACTTGGATTTTGAACAACTTGGATTTTGGAACTACTAAGGCTATGTGGGAACTGGACCTGTGGCTCAAGTGGCAAAGTGCCACCAGCAGTGAATTAAAAAAAAAAAATCAAGCAAGGGTACAAGGCCTTGAGTTCAAGTCCCAGTACTAACACCAAAAAAAAAAAAAAGAAGAAGAAGAACTATAGAGATTCTTAAAGATGGACTAGATATATTTACATTGTAAGATGGGCATAAACTTTGGAAATCTAGCTTGGATCTAGAGTGTCCTTTAAAATTTGGTATCCACCTATGAAGCTCTTGGGAGGTGGAAGACCCTGTGGAAGGAAGTAGGCTACAGGGGTAGGCCTTTGAAAGGAATACTGGAATCCTCTCCCTTCTCTCCTTTTCAGTCAGTGCCCAACAGTTAAAATATTTTATGTTTTTTTTGTTATTAAAAAAAAACTCCAATCAAACCTTCATTGAGTATTGTAAATTCACCTACAAAGTAGTCTATTTGGTGATATTTAGGTAATTTAGTGAACTATGTAACCATTACCCTAATCCAGCCATAGAGGGAATATATCAATTATTTAACAGTTATTCATCTCATTTCTCAAGAACCACAACAAAACTAAAGTCTGTCTTCTTGCCTACTGTATTTTCTTCTAGGTTATTTTTCCCGACTATGATATATATATATATATAACCATGACTTTTATATACAGTGCCTAGTTATCTAAGATGTCAGATATTAATAGTTATAGAATTTCATGTAATAAAACCAATATTTAGTTTTAGAAATGTAAGGCAATCGGAAATTGCTTGATAACACAAATGTACATTTGTTTATTATCACAAACACAAATACACACAAATCTTTTTCTTAAGTAAATGTTTCCTTTTGTGTGGAGTCAACTACTTACTATTCAATTTCCTTAAATAACATGGGACAATTTTACCATTGGTGAGAGTAAAAATACTTTAAACAAAGTTAGTGACTCAGCCATATTTGACTATGGACCATTTTTCAAAGCTAGCCCAGGCAGGGAGGATGATGAAATGATTATCTCCAATTAACCAGCAAAAGACCAGAAGTGGAGATGACTCTAGTAGATAGAGTAAAAAAGTAAAAAAGAGTACAAGGCCCTGAATGCTGAATGCAAGCACTAGAACACAAGAAGAATAAGAAAAATAAAGTTAACTAAGAGCTAGGGAAAAGTAGGGAATAAGTTTTATTGCTTAATACAGAATTTGTCTGAAAATATGAAAAGTGGTTAAATAATTACAATACTGAATTATGTCACTGAATTATATACTTAAAATGGTTAAAATGGTTATCTTTATAAGTATCTTAGTACAGTTGTTAAAACATGAGATTGATTTTAGACAGGCTGAGATCCATAGTGATAGAGACATATTTTTTCTTAGAAAAGAGGCCAAAGCTGGCCAATGTATAAAACCATAAATAGTTTTGAATTTTAGGAATCAATATAATATCTAACAAGTAGTGGATCGCCAATAACTATTGCCAGCTTGCCAAGTGAACTAAAAAAAAAAAACAGAAACAGATGGGTGCTGGTGGCTCTCACCTATATCCTAGCTAAGGATCAGGAGGCTAAGATCTGAGGGTTGCAGTTCAAAGCCAGCTCAGGCAGGAAAATGAGATTCTTATCTCCAATTAACCACCAGAAAACCAGAAGAGAGCTATGGCTCAAAGTGCTAGCCTTGAGCAAAAGAGCTCAGGGATAGCACCCAAGCCCCAAGTTCAAGCTTCATGACAGACAGACAGAAAGAAAGAGAGAGAGCGCAAGCGAGAGGGAGAGAGGGAAAGAAGGAAAGAGGGAGAGAGGGGAGAGAGGGAGAGAGAGGGATAGAGAGGGAGAGAGAGAGAGAAACCAGTGAGCCAAGCACTACTGGTTCACATTTATAAATCCTACCTACTTGGGAGGCAGAGGAGAAGACTGTGGTTTGAGGCCAGCCCAGGCAGAAATGATCATGAGACTTTTCTGTTTATAGCTGAACTAAGTAATGCATGCCTGTCATGCAAAGCTACATGAGCACCAGAGCAGCAAAGTCTATTAGAATCCCTCTCAATGGAAAGATGCTGGGTGTGGTGGTACATGCCAGCCACTAAGGGAAACCTAAAAATGGACTATAGTCCAGGAATGTACCTGGACAGGAAGAAAAGACCCTTTCTCCAAAATAACCAATGCAAAAGAAGGAGAGTTAGAGGCGTGGCCCTGTGGTAAAGTAACTACTATATATCATGCACCTCAGTGCAAGGCCCTGAATTAAAACCCAGCACCACCAAAGATAAAACAAACAAGACTCAAGGTTCTTAAAAATACTGAAAATTCAATTTGATCATCAGCTGACAATGATTGACCTTGTTAAATGCTATATTAAGTTCACTGAAACCTCTCTCTCCATTCTAAAGATTTCAGATTCAGGAGAACTTTGTAGGCCCTGGTTTTTTTCACATCACTAACTATCACAATATATCAGGACTTCCAGACTTCTCAAGAGGTGATACTCACTCGAATAGTTACTGTGTGACTGGCAGAAGGTCTCAAGAGAGGGAGCCGGGACCCACACTGAGGCATCTTCCTCATCTCCTCAATAGGTGTTCCAAGCCACTTCTTATCTGGAGAAAGGTGAGGTGGAACGTATTTAGGGATCTTCCTTTCTGCTCTTTGATGTTTGATTTCACATTGTTCTTTTCTAAGGTTGAGAATAAACGCATTTAGACAAATTATTCATTTTGGTTTCCTTAAATACACAAATATGAAGCTTACCCAGAATATTATTTTTTTAAGTAAGCAAGTTTGCTCTCACTTCAATTTGTTTTCTATTTGTAATCAATAAGAAAACTTACAGAGCTCATATTAAAACCAGGTGCTTATTTTCAATAGTGTGTGTGTAGAAGGAATTTCGAAACATATGTAAGTCATCTTGAAAACAAATGAATCATGGTTCACAGTATAAACTACCTACTGGATCTTTACACAAGAGTTTTCAATTAAGTGAACTTAGTATCACATACTAGAAAATGAGAGCTTAGAAATTATTGACTGAGCTTTAAGATTCTGTATTGGGTAATGGCAAAAATATAAGGTTTCTAATTAGATACACATGGGGTTAAATCCCAGTAATACTTCCCATAAGTTACAGGATTTCAGTGAATTTCTCAACCTAAATCTATTTTCTCATTTATAAAGAAAGTCTAATACCCCATCTACATGCCTATCAAAGTATTAAAGAAAGCAAAATATACAATGGTCTGGAAAATACAGTAGCTGTTACCAATCTGATTATTTTCATGTTTTAACAATTTCCATAAACTCCAGATGAAAGTTCATAAATCTAAAACTCTGATTGCCAATGTCTTATTTCTTATTATTATTTCTGGCCTTTATGAGAGTTTAAATGACAGTTTATTTAAATTTAGCATAAACAGTTAATAAGAAACGTAAGTAGTTCTTTCTTCAATTATAAATGGGTTTAAATCACCTTATAAAATTTTAAAGTATGTTATTGGGGAGATACACCTGAAGGAAAATAATTACCTTCTATCGTCTGCTTTGGGTACTCTCATGAAATGGTCTGTGATTTTAGAATCTTTCTTTCCATGATGCTTGGAATTTCTGCATTCTACATTAAGGCTAGAGGTACTTCCAGGTGGCCTGACATTTAAGTCACTCATCCCAGAGCGACTTTCTCCGCCTTCAAATTGAAAATGCAATTTAATTTCACCTCCTTTAGTAGAGAACCGTTTTCTAAGTTCAATGTCAGCTTCTCTTGCTTGGCACCTTGAATGTTTATTTGTTATTTGGAAGGAACTACCATCTTCTTGCTCATCAAAACCTGGACTTGCCTCTTCATCTGCTTCTGAGTCTTGACAACTGTTTTTGGAATTATCTACATCCATAGGTGACTCGGGTTCACTTTCCTTCTCAAAAGCAGGAGAATTTGCTATGCTGTTTTCTTGTCTACTTAACTTGCTGTCATTTTTTAGTTCATTTCCAATGTCCTCAGAGCCAACATCTGACAATGGACTCTCTGGTACCACATCTATTTCCTCCTGCTGACAACAGCCTACAGAGTCTTCCACAGGATGGCTTCTGGCCTGACCATCTTCTGTCATCTGCTTGGCATTTGCAAGCTTTACAGGTGCTAGAAACTGTTGATTATCTCTATTTTCTTCACTATCTGTGTCACTGTGGTCATCAGTTTGTGGCAACTCATCAACATTAGCATTACTAAACTGCTCTGGAACCAGAGTTGCTGGCAGAGGTTCACATTTCCCTTCTGTCTGTTTCCCTTCATTTTGCCACTTACACATAGCTGTGGTCTGTTGCTGGTTCAAATATTGTGTACTTTTTTCAGTTGGTGATTTATCAACACTTATCTGAGAAACATTCTCTAATTTTTCCACGTTATGTTGGTAGAAGTTATCTTTTTGTACAGAACTCATCATGGATTCTATTATTGTATTGTTGTTTTCTTTACTATGCAAACTACAAGAGAACAGAAACAGCCAAAACCAACTTATGGTACAAAAAAGTAACGTATTCAACCAAACTCCAACAATGTGACAGCAATACAGCATTCCCTATGGTTACCTGAGCATAGTACACTCTTTCGTTACTCTGTGTCTTTGTACAAGTGCCAGTACTACCCTTCCCAGCTGTGTGCCTGCCAAGTATCTTTCCTTCAAAACCTTAAACTTCACTCCCCTCCCTCCTTTTACTGTCTTTCCTCAAGGTCAAAAGGTTAACTCAACTCTATGTTTCTTCTCCATGCTAGCTACCACTCATACCTTTACTTCCTCATACCTTTACAGCTGCAGTTAATCCAGCAGGCAGTAATTTATGTGCTTTGTGTCTATAACAATAACAATATGGTTCACTATTATCTTAAAGTTAGGGACTCTTGGGGCTGGGAAGGTGGCTCAGTGGCAGAGTGTTTGCCTTGCATGCCTGAGGCCCTGGGTTCAATTCCTCAGCACCACATAAACAAAAAGAAAACAAAAGCCGGAAGTGGCACTGTGGCTCAAGTGGTAGAGCACTAGCCTTGAGCTGAAGAGCTGAGGGATAGTGCCTAGGCCCAGAGTTCAGGCCCCATGACAGGACCCAAAAAAAAAAAAATTAGGGACTCTTTCACCTCTAGATCATAAATATAAAGGTGAGTCTCCATATACACAAGAATCTAAAATAAAATATTTAAATTGAAAGAACATAGATGAAGAAATGCAAAAGGAAAAAAAATACCTATTCATACCTTTCTGATTCAGTTGTCTTGATTCCTGTAGTGTCCATCCAACTGGTAATAGTCTTTTGTCTAAAAACTGTAATACAAAAACTAAGTAAGTATATATTCATACATTCTTTCACACAGAAAACATATAGAACATAAAGTATTTTGCTGGGTTCTGTAGGTTAAATAAAGGCTAATTATCCCCTATACTCTCAAATATCAAGATAGGAACAGGGGGCTGGGAAGGTGGCTCAATGGTAGAGTGCTTGCCTTGCTTACATGAGGCCCTGGGTTCAATTCCTCAGCACCACATAAAAAGAAAAGGCTGGAAGTGGCGGTGTGGCTCAAGTGGTAGAACGCTAGTCTTGGGCTGAAGCTCTGAAGGGCAGCACCCAGGCCCAGAGTTCAAGCCCCACAACTGACAAAAAAAAAAAAAAAGATAGGAACAAATATACTAATATATATGGCACACACAGAAAGTGGCCAGCCCCTAAAAGGTTAGGTATGGACAAATGTGTAACAGTAAACACTGTGGAGTCAGAGCACCTGCAATTAAATCCTGGCTATCTCACAGGCTTCCTGTGTAACTTTTGAAGGTGATATTTCTCTTTTTATCTGATTCTTTACCTGTAAAACATTCAAATTAAAATATTTTTTCTTCATGGAACTGAAGTGACAGATTAAATTAATAAGCTATATAGGACACTGTATGGTATATGCTCAGTAAAGGTTAATTACTATTAATATTAAAAAAGATCCTGACAAGGAATTAAGATATTCCCAGGAAAAAAGACTACTTTAGGAAATGAGAATAAATAGTAAGATTTCCTGAGATAGTGCTTGAATTATGCCTTGAAGAATACATGTACAGACATGTAAGAAGAAAATCCCAAGCAAAGGAAATAATGGCAGAGAAGTATAAAAACTTAGGAAGAAAGCAAGAGCAACTATGATTCAAAGGCTAGCTTGGTCACAGAAGATTTTGAATGATGCTTAAAGTCATACTCAGATTCACAATCACAGAATGCAAATCTAGGAAGTTACAGCCATGCATGAAAGTCTGAAAGACAAACAAATAAGCAAGAAGACAGAGAAAGTTACTTGTTTTTTCTTTCCCCTTTTTTTCTTTCAGTAGGTCCCAAATTATCCAGGTCATCAAGAAGCTAGCAATAAATGGATTGCCAGGTCATATTCCAGACCTACTAGGCCAGAATCTGGAAGCATTCTAGAAATAAGAAGAACTGCAATTTTGAAACTCAATTTCATTGAAGAATTACAGGACAAGGACTAAAATGAGTCCTATTAAGAATAGAAAAACTGAGAAGATCCTTTGCATACTTCATGATGATTGGGGACAGTGAGCCTTAAGCTTAAAATAAGTAGAAACAACTAGCAGACAGTATCGAAAGTAGAGCTGATTAGCTCAAGAATAGAAGAGGAGGTCTTTTTTTTTTCTTGGTATTAGTATTTGAGCACTCCTCTGTGAATTTTATACTCAATGCTAGTGTTGTACCACTCAAGCCACAGCTCCACTTCCAGACTTTCACTGGTTAACTAAAGAGTCTCATAAACTTTTCTGCTTGGGCTGGCTTCAAATTGCAATCCTTAGATCTCATCCTCCTAAGTGGCTAGGATTATAGGCATAAGGTACCAGTCCCTGGCTACAAAGTCAAATAACTTTATATAAAACACAAGTCAAATAACTTTATATAAAACACAATCTCAACCACTCTCTAATTGCAATATAAGAATTTATATACCTATGTTATAGATCTTCTTACTGTGCTATTATTCCCTCAAACACCAAAATAGACATAGGCTGAAACAAGGAAATAGTTTATCACTGAAATAATAGCAGAAATAAAATACATTTCAAATTGGGAAGACATATATCCAATTAGTGAATACCATATAATTTATATCTTCCACAAAGTATTCAACTGCCATCTAATTAAAATGTGTCATCTATAGAGTAGTCCCAACTAGTAAAAATCTTTTGGACTAGTATTCTTTAAATGGTTTCTATCAGAAAAACAAAACTATAAAGTTGATATTTCTTGTTAAACATCACTGCAATAATTTTCATTTCATATTTCTGCAGTGGATTAGGTTTCAACAACAACCAAAAAACCTAGCATCACTCATCAGTAGATAAAAGGATGAACTATTTGATTTAGAGGCTTTTTTCCTACAGTTCCAACTTTTCTATTTAATTTCATTACTCAGGTTATGAGTATGAAAAATGCCCTAAAATCAGACATTTTTTGAGTCCCACCACTAATTCTGGAACATTTCAGTTTCAGATTAGAAATGTTCAGCCAGGGCTGGGAAGGTGGCTCAGTGGTAGAGCGCTTGCCTTGCATGCATGAGGCCCTGGGTTCGATTCCTCAGCACCACATAAGCAAAAAGAAAATAGCTG